AACACGTAGTGCCAAGCGCGGCCTCGAGCAGCCACCAAGATGACTTACATATGCCAGTTTGGTGTTGAACAATATCTGATACTGGATTGTCACACTAATTTGCATGGGGAGGCATCATGTGAGATCAGGCAGGTGATTTGCATCCATTTGCCCTTACCGGAAGCAGGAAGACACATGATGCCAGGGTCTAGTATCGAGGTTTTACGTTGTAGAGAGGCTCTTGATCCCAGACATGCCAGTGCGCTGTGCTTCACCTCAGCCGACTCGCCGGAAGAACTGAGTTTCCGGCGACCCCCTCTGGGCTTTCGTGATAGGAAGGGTGAGCCCTCCTCATCTATTGGACATGTGCATCCCCGCTGGATTTTATGGCAACCAAAGTTCACTCCCACCCCGTTTAATGAAATCCATAAGCGTTGCCGGGAAAACAGACGCTTCACATCTTGTGTGGGGATGCCGGAGTTTCTCAAAATCACCACTGCGTAATCCTGAGCAATAATTTGAACCCTCAAGCATCTTGTGTGGGGATGCGGGAGTTTCTCAAAATCACCACTGCGTAATCCTGAGCAATAATTTGAACCCTCAAGCCCTATAGGGGCGCAGCACTTTCAGAAACTCGCATCCCATGAATACTAGGACCCTTGATATATTGTAAGGTATATTCCCTTAGTAACAGACATTGGGCATGCGGTATGTGTCCGTTATAGGGGTCCCCAATATACTACAGTAGTTTCCATTTTCCTTACCATTATCCCAGTAAAGTACCCCAATATTATACCCCATTAGACTATAGTCGTTTCCATTTTCTTTCCATTCGCCCAAGATGACCCCTCTGTATCCCCTATATGAATAGTAGCTTCCATTTTCTCATGAGGTATATTCCCTATATCAACCCTATGACCCCTCTATAACCCTATATAAAGCGTACATAACCCCTATATAACCCCGTATAGCCCCTCTATAACCCCTACACAACCCCATATAATACCTATACAAACCCTATATAGCCCTTCTATAACCCTATATAAACCCTATATAGTCCCTCTATAACCCTTTATAAGCCCTCTATAGCCCCTCTAGAACCCTTTTTCACCCCTAGATAACCCCTATGTAGCCCCTTTTTAACTCTATATAACCCCTCTATAACCCTATATAACCCTATATAACCCTATAACCCCTATATAGCCCCTATATAACATGAGGTATGTGTCCGTGGAGCAGAAGCCCCGGGAGCTGCTCGAGGACCTCTGAGCCGATGGCTGCGCCATGAGTTCGGGTCCTTACATCACAGGGTTTAGGGTTTAGGGGTATGATATTGGGGTATTTAGGGCTTAGGGTTTATTGGCATTACTTAGGGTTTGGGGTGGTCATTTTGACCTTGAAATTTTAAAATATTCAGATTAAGGAACTTGTGGGACCCAAAGTGATGGTAAGTTTTACATGGGCTTGCGGGTTTAGGGCTTAGGGTTTAGGAGGGTTAGGGTTTAGGGTATATTGGGATAATGTAAAAGAAAGTGGAAACTACTATAGTGTAATAGGGTATAATATTGGCTTACTATATTGAGAGAATGGAGAAGAAAATGGAACCTACTATAGTAAATTGGGGCTCTATGGGGAAGGACCCCACGGGTTTGAGACGGAGCCGACAATTCAAGGTTGGGGTCACGATTGGGGTCGACGCTACTGTACATAAGTAGACTGCTACCAGTGCTAGAGCCACCGAACGTCCCGGATAGATTCTCATGTTGCAGCCGACCGACGCTCGGCCGCGGACTGCGATGAAAAAGCCGATGCTTCAGCCGCTTCGTCAGGGGTAGAACAACGCCCTGAAGACAGATTTCATTAGCGATGGTGGTATATGCGGATTGCAAAGTTTCATATGCTTCCTGTCTTCTCGTTCCTTGACGCTCTCTAGCAAGCAAGAAGCTGCAGGATTTTGTCTAGGCAGATTGCAATCAGAAGACGGAGTGCCGCGCCTTCTGACTTCAGGCGCTCGATGAAGCTAAGAAGGCCATTGCATGTATGGCCTCAGAGAAACATGCTCCGGTTTGCAAGCAGGGGCCTGCGCTCACGGGCTTGATTTGTGCAGTTAGTTCAGTGACCTGCGGTAGTTCCTTTTTCAGGTTCATGAGCTTGCGGTACGAAGTACCTCCGCTCGCAGTTTGGACGCAGGCTCGCGCAATCTTCCGAAAGCATGGTCTTCGACATGACGAAGGCAGACGACCGCATAGTATTCAGTGATCACTCTTCCATATTGGTTTGAAGGCATGAACTCCAGATGCCAGGGCGCACCTGCAGCAATTGCACTTGCGGAGGGGCACCCAGAGAGCAATCATGGAGAACAGTTCGAAATTCAAACCGTAACGCCCAAGTCCTCTTGCAGCAATCCTAGGGAAAATCGGTATAACCTTCATGCGCAAAAATGCGCCTCCTGGAGTTAGAATGGCCAGGACGGTCGCTGCTAGTGAAGAGCTGTGCTCACAAATTGGGGCAAGAGCTTCTTGGTTGCATTTCTGCTGTGATATGACGTGAGGCTTTGGTGAGCGCATGTAGGGTTCCTAAAAGATGACAATGAGTGCAAAAACGTAGTGCTGAGTTGGGAGAGCCGTGGATACATCCAACCTACATGACGCCTCAGTTTGTTTATAGCTTCTGCATATGCATGAACACCAAGGTTGGGACAAGCTGCCCGGAACCCGGGATTCCTTTGGGTTTAGGGCTGATAGGGGCCTTCCATGTACACAGGATTGTTTGGTGGAGCTGGACTGATTTCAGATCAGATGCTAATGTGACAGTCCGGGGACACAGGGCCAGAGGGCTAGCTCTAGCATGCAAGGAGAAGAAGGCTTCACAAAACAGAGCCGAGCTCCCCACATGGCCTCGCCACGACTTTTGGTTGAAATCCGTCAAACAAGGTCCAGGATGCCACAGAAGCGCAGTATCTCTTCCAGAAGGAGAAGGATCGAAGGCGGCCCACTTGATTGCAGCAACTTTCAGTGAGTCCTGACAGTTTCCCAAGAGTCAGAAGGTATACCGCATGAAAGAGGACTCCTCAAGAAAGGAAGTCAAGCAGGGATTTTGATGTTGCGGACGCAGAGCTTTGGCGACTTTCCAACACGATGACATTTTTTGAGAAGGTCTCAAACCTGCCGTGGTCTCAAACCTGCCGTGCCTTGTTCGGGGTCGGCACAGGAATCTCGGCAGTCCTTGGGACCCGAGAAGGAGACCCACAGGAGCAAGAGACCCCATAGTTGTGAGAAACGCGTACATCAGACATATAACGGCATTTCGCTCCAAATGCTACCTGTCTGCGAAGGTGGGAGACCAAAGCGCTGCACGATGTTGCCGAGCTTCAGGCAGCAGTTGGGATGCCCGCCTCTGCTGTGCACATGCTCACCTACATGGCGGAGTGCTGCGGCACCTGTAATTCAATTCAAGGCAAGGCCGAACTCACTGGGAGTAAACGCAAGGGACAGGCCCAAAGGTCGACCACCGCGTGAACCCTGGACAAAGTTCGTCCAAGCCCCTGGCCTTTGTCCAACCCTCGTCCCTTCGTCAAAGCCTTCGCCCCCGTCGTCTAGGCTTGACTGGGGTTCCGTTCGTCAACTCCTTTGTGTGCAGGATGAGAGGTGGGAGGTGAAGAACATCATGGTCCGGAGGTCCAGCCTCGTAGACTTTCTTCCCTTCGTCCAGGTCAACTCCCTTTCCCAAGGTTCGTTTCGCAAGGTTCGTCCAGGGTCTTTTGGTGGTCAACCCCTCGGGGGTCCTTTCTGTTTGCGCTCTAACTGAGCTGACTGCTCGGGGTGAGGGGAAAGGACACCTGCACTCCATAGTTTAGACGAAGGATTGGACATCATTTGGGCAGGTCCAAGCTCTACCCCGTCTTTTTTGTACGACGTTGCTGCACAGCTTGTCTAACACAGGGAACATGCGGTCTGCACAAACATGTGCGAAAGGCCAGCCCACTGTTACCGCGTGAGGATGGGATGTGGAATCAAGTTCCTTTGTTTGGCAGAAGCAGTGGATTTCAAGCTTGTTCGCTTCTGGCTGAGTTGTTGAAGAGCCGGGGTGCCTTTGGGGGGAAGAAAGCGCGTTTGTCAGCCGCTATATACGTTGCTGGAGAAAGGGCAACACAGACAGTACTAACTGCACGGAAACGCTAGATACAGGACGGGACCATGTGTATCAATCCTGCAGGCAATGCGCGAAAACTTCCCTGCTGCAATGAGAGCGCCGCCCTCAACCGTATCAGCAGGTTGTGAGTCGGAGGTACTTACCAGAGCGCAGCTTTGGGTTGCAATGGAACTCAGAATCCAGGGTACTGTTTGCCTGCCAAGAGTGAGACTGTTGCTTTTACCCGGCAATTCTCAGGCGGCGAAGAAAGCAGAGCAACTGGTTCAGGCCTGGGAGTCTCAAATGATGCACAGATTTTGATGCTCAGCATGAGCAGCAAACTGTTTGGTGTCCCACAGTCTGCTCTGAGCAGCCTTGGCCACCTTGCACTTCATGTGTGTTAGCTGCTGCTGCTGCTGCTGCTGCCGCTGCTGCCGCTGCCGCCAGATGCTATGGGGTTTGAGGCAAGGTCCATTTTAAACATTCTCCATTCCTAGCCTTGCGGGACCCTGATAACCATGGATTTGTCGCGCATTGTGGACGCAAGGAGACCACGGACAAATCCAACATTGCTGCAGTGCTGTCAACTGTGGCCGGGGCCATCGGGCAAGCAGTTGACGATTCAAGCATGCAGGGGTTGCATAAAGTTGGCCATAGAGCAACGAGCCCAAAACAGCTGCAGTTTGTGCTGGAGCATGGTATGAATCCAGGGGTTGGCTCTGTCAGGTTGTGTTTTCTAGGCTGCCTTGGTGGTGGTTAGCTTTTGCATGAGCCCACTCCCAATCTATCCCAATTGTCTTGGACTTCAGCTCTCGTGTGCCGCTATCGGCTCAAAGGCCTCTGCCGCCCCGTCGCCGCCTTTTTCGGGGGTCCAAGGCATGTCAACGGAGATGACACACGCGAGAAGTCCCTGGCGAAGCAGGCGAAAACAACAACCGAAAGTTGACACATCTTCCTGCAAAGTGAGGTTTTAGTTATACACCATTGCATTCCAAAAACATCTGGCCAACAGATGTTTACAACTTGTCACTGGCCCCTGCAGGCGGAACCGCGGAATAACGACGGTGCTGGCGCATCTTGACAAGAATTCATGTGGCTACTGCTCAATTTGATTGGTCCGGAACAAGGGGAAGTGCACATCCTGATCCAGAGATCCAGAACAAGTCCACGAATTCCGCCCCAGACCCTTCCGTTCCAGATCATCATAAAGACGACCATGCTGTCCTAACAAACCTGACTGACTAGCACAGGGACTGGCACGTGATTTTATTAATCCTTAGCCATGTGCTAGCAAGCGCAAAGCGTGGATAGGTGTACTTGCCGGTTGCAACGACACTTGATTGGGAGTGGTGCCTGTCTACGATCAAGGCTTGTTCGGGGCTGAAACACAAGATCAGAGAGTGGAGTCCATCGGACCAGGCAGCAGGTGAGCAATATTACCCCAATATACCCGATATACTACAGTAGTTTCCATTTTATTTTCCATTCTCCCAATACAATACCCCAATATTATACCCTATTATACTGTAGCAGTTTCCATTTTCTTTTCCATGATCCCCATATAATCTGGTTGCACGATGCCAGATTCCCAGCATTCTGCAACTGAGGCTGTTCGCAGTCGCAGCTGCGCTCTTTATGCGCGCTGCAGGTGCTTTCTGCGGAGGCCCGCGTATGGGTGGAAGCGTTGGGATCATTGGGCCTCAGGCCCAGCCCCTGCAGCATTCCCATGGTAACTTCGCAGCGTCCTACCCGCGCAATCAGCCACATCAGCTGAGCCTTGCTACGCCCGCAATGTACTGTCAACTTTCCCTCAGATCCTTAGTTGCCCGCAGGTTGTACCAGAATGAACTTTGCTATGCCGTCCGAGCCATGCAAGCGGCAAAAAAACTAAACCCCAACCCTGGCTCCTGGTTTCAGAAGCCGCCCTGGCAGGCCTTCAGCTACCTTCTGGCAGAGGGCGAGAAGCTCGAACGCCTCGCCTCGCAACGACCATCGAAGGAGATGAGCCTCCTGGCAACAGAGAGCCGAGGGCTTCATACGGTGACAGAAGCTGGTGACTGAAGCTCAAAGTAGCACAACCACCACCGTACAGCAGGAGTTCGCAATTAACTACTGCACACACCCCTATTTTGGGAAACTACCATATTGCCATGACCCAGAAAAGAAAACTTACTGGGGATTTCTAGGGAAGATGGGAATATAGTATATAGGGATTATATCGTGAGAATATTCCCTTATTCCCTACTAACCGCCAGTAAGAAAATGACAACATCCTTAACCTACCAAAACATACTTTTTGGTAGGGTCCTATTATACTCCCTAATATAGACTTTATAGGGAACCTACAAAAAAGTAGGTTTTGGTAGGTTATGGATTTCGGTGAGGTTCAAAGCTGCACGGGAGCGCATCCGGCGGATTCAGCTCGGGCTCGGGCCCAACGACCCTCTCCCTGAGGAGGCCGCACTTCTTGTATGGGTTTAGGGTTTAGGGTTTAGGGCAGCTCCTTTTTCTTAGTAGTGGTTAGTGGGAACAAGGGAATACATTCCCTATATAACCCCTATATGATGTATTCCCTTATTCCCTACTAATCCCTAGAAAGTTTTTTTTTGCTTCAATGGGAAAGACTGGCCAGTATGATGGTGTTACCACAGTGTTACGACCCTAAAGCCGTGGCAGCCCTGCTAGTTCTACTTCTGTTTAGCCTTTACTTTGGTTTCCATGCATGGGGGTGGACAATTGCTCGACCACGGGCAAACGGCATCCCTGGGGACTTAGAAAATAGCTAGGGGTATGATATGGCTTTCAGAGGTTCTGGGTACACTTATACTTCCCTGACCCTCCAAGTGCAGTTTAATGGGTAGTCAGAACTTCGGCTATTGGCACGTCAAATCCATCTGAACTCCCGAAAATTCGCAATAGATGCCCGATCCAGCGCTTAGGGGAATTGCATTCTAGCATATCCTACATCTGGGAGGACGAGGAGCCCGCAGAAGCCGACCCAAACGTGGTCCCCGGCCCTGCCACAGGAGGGAAGCAGAAGGGTTTCACGGTAGATCCGACACCCCAAAATGAGGATCCCACGACTGCCATAGGATCTGGTCACGTGTGGGTCGTATAGGATTCTTCTGTTGGCGGTTTCAGATTAAGGGTTTGCGGTATAGGGTTCTCATCTTGGTGGTTTGGGGTTGTGTTTGTCCTAGGGGAGAGGCCATAGCGGGTGGGTGAGGATCTTAAGGGGGATGACACAGGATGTTTAAAGTGAGTACACAGGGGGATTACAGACAACGAGAAGCTTTCTGGAGCAGTAGTCGGTTTTGTTTGATTTGGAGGACGTAGTACACACAAGGCTTAACGAGCTTTATCCGTGTCTCCTGTTGAAGTATGCCAAATCCATTCCTGATGCAGCCGGTAAAGCCAGGGAATGCTAGAAAGGCATCAATGTTCAAATGATAAACCTCTTACTGGCTCGTAGTGGGGAATAGGGAATATGATCCCTGTATAACATATTCCCTCATTCCGTATGATAACCCCAACATATACGCTAGTATCAAGCAGTAGTTTCCATGCTGAGCACGTGTGAGAGAGAGAGTTTCCATGTTGTTTTCCATTATCCCCATATGAGCGACCGCCTTTATAATCGTGTAGGAGCCAAGGTCAGGCTAGGACAACAATGTCCTGACATGAACAAAGCCCTGGTAAACGAGAGCCCCCCCCAAGAACGCTACCCCCAAGTGGGCGACTTATGAGAATCCCAACCAAAAGCACAAATTTGGGGCATCCAGGCGAGGGATCTTGTAAAACAATGTAAAACGATAGGTATGAACACCGCAGCGTGCCAAAACCTTGTAAACGATAGGACCCCCCAAAAAGCGAGATACCCTTGATTCCCGAATGCGTAGCAGAAGGGTTCCCGTTTTAAGGTTGGGGTCCAGGGGTCCAGGAGGCGACGCGAGGTCGTTGCGTTTATGTTCGCAAAGCGTCCGCAAGCGTCCGCAA